CTGCTGTGGGCAACTCAAGTGACCCGTTCAGACCTGGAGGAGGAGGAGGAAGCAGGAGTTCACTCGTACACTTAGCTGCTAGGGAGCCCATCTTCTCAGTAGGTCCTAGAGACTGGCCAGGCCAAAACTGACTGCCCCGTAAGTGTTGGGTAGAGGCAGATGCGATGCAGTGAGGGGTCCCCGGAGTGAGCTGGGCGCTCGGACACCTGGCAGAATTGCTTGGTGCCGCCAGACTGCCAGCTGGCTGATTGTTTGCTTGTGTGTGCACGCATAACCTACAGTACAGCAGTTCAAAGGCTCTTGGATGCAAGCTGTGCCTGCTCGCTCGCTGCGCTGCTGGCCAGGCCATCCCTGGAGAAAGTCCCCTTGCAGGGAGTGGCCGGGGGCTGGAGATGCTGCAGTAGAAGCCCCTTCTGCTGTGCCACTTGTTGCTGCAAAGAAAGGCGGTTGGCTTCTGGCTTTGACCCAAAGCTGGGCCATGCTGGAAGGAGCCAAACTCCTTGCCAAATCCTGAGCTTCTGCCTGGCTTTTCGTCTTGGAAGCTTTTTCTAATGGAAACTCCCGTTTCCTGCTGCAAAAGCAGCAGCTCCTCTAAGAGCCAAGGCCTGCTGCTTCCCCCTTTGCAGCTGCACTGCCTTCCTCCACTGGGTTTTGTGTACTTCTGGTTAAATTCTCCAAGCACAGTACTTGTGGCTTGCTCTTATTTGAGCCCTTCTGGGAAGGCAGTGATTTGGGTCACCCTGGGAGCAGAACCCTTCCGTTGTGGTGCCCAGTTTAGCCCTTGCCAAGCCCCAGTCTGGCCCACTGACCACTTTAACCTCCGCCTTGGCACCGAGGCTCGGCCCTTCCCTCTCCCAGCCTGGGGGGAGGCAGAAGTGCCCAAATGCGGGTGGTACCTGTTGCCTGAGGCTGTGTCTGTCCCCTCATCTGACTCCCCTCATGTCCCACCCGTGCCAGGCCTCACAGCCACCAATGTCACCACCTTTGCTGTGCTCACTTGGGTTCCTTCACTTTAAGCCCCCTGCGACTGCTTGCAATGCTTCCTTCGGACCCACAGCCTCTCTTTTTGGGGCAGTTCCCTTCTAATGTGATGAGATGCTCCTCAGTGGACATTGCTAATACACAGTCATCCTAAAGGGACAGAGCCCTTGCTGCTGTCTCTGGCCTTTCGGGTGGTGGTTTTATATGTGCTACCCTTGTCCTTCTGCCCCTTCCAGGGCTGCTGCATTGGAGCTGGACGTTGCCTTCTGGTTTTGGATAGCGTTAACCTAGCTGTGCTTGCAAGAGTTGGGGTTTTGATTTTGGTGGCTTTGTTTTTTTTCCTCCCTTCGGGGAGATTCTCAAATGCCCACACAGGTAGACTGGTGGCAGCAGTGACTTCAGGTGCTTACACGAGAGCATGTCTGTCTCGCAAAACCCACGAGGGATGGGGACTGAGCTACAGCTTGCTTCCCGCTTGGTGTACAGTGGGCCCGGCAGAGCCGCTGAAATGTGCTGCAGCCTCACCCTGTCCTGGACTCAAATTTAGCTGTAGCAGGAAAACCTGTTGTGGGTAGGTGAGACCAGTGGGGGTGTCAGGGCGGGGGGCTCGGGGCTGTGTTCCCTTGGGGTGTGACTGTGTGAGTCGCAGCTGGATCCTTGGGCCTGTGGCAGAGCTCTGAGGGTGCAGTGCTCTCATCTGTGTCACTTTTTTTTTTTTTTTCTTTAGTCAAATTAACCGTTTGGTTGTCTGTGCAATATTCTCTGTTCTGAACTATTCTGCATCTCCCTGAGCCTTTTCTAGCTGGGGTGAAAACCAGGAACAATTCTAACAGCTGGTAGTTTTGTAACGATGACTTTCTCCAAACCTTTTACAGACTTGCAGTTAACAGCAATTAAAGGAATTCTACAGAGTCTCTGCCTGTGTTGGGTGTTCTCATTTCCTTCGCCTGCAGAATGGGGGCTGAGAGGGTCTGTGTGTCCGCTGCTTTAACTTTCCCTTTCCTGCCACCCCCTTCAGGGGAGGTATGCTTTGCTCAGGAAGGTGGAGCCACGCTGCCCCGGCTGCTCAGAGCTCGTGTCTGCCCAGTTCCCAGCCGCTGAGGGCTTTGAGTGAGCTGATAAAAATGCCCGAGTATGACCCAGACCTTGTCTCTGCCAGCTGGAGGCCTGACACACCACCTGCGAGACTGGATAGGTGGGAAACACCGAGCTACAAACTTATCATCTTTTTAGAAACAATCTGTTCCATTTGGGGAGAGTAGGGCAAGTCCTTCTCAGGGGTTCATCAGCCACGGGTGCCTGCTGACCCCCCTGATGGAGGGTCTGAGGGTCATGTCTGGTTGCAGGAGCATTTTCAAGAGGTTCTGGCACTCCCTGGAGATCCCCAGGTGCCCAGGAATGGAGATGCCTCTCTGCTGCTGGTGCAGCATCTTGGGGATGTCAGTGTCATCGAAGGGCAGGTGGGCACAGAGCAGGGCATAGAGGATGACACCCATGCTCCAGATGTCGGCCTTGCGGCTGTCGTGGGGCATGCCCTGCAGCACCTCAGGCGCCGCGTAGGCTGTGCTGCCACAGAAGGTCCAGCTCAGCTCTCTGCCCTCCCTGGGGAGCAGCTTGGCGAAGCCAAAATCTGTCAGCTTCAAGGTGTGGCCCTGCAGCAGGGCATTCTCACACTTGAGGTCACGGTGGGCCACCCCGTGGTCGTGGCAGTACTGGATGGCCTCAACCAGCTGGCAGAAGAGCGCCCTGGCATGGGGCTCGGGCAGGGGACCCTCGTGGAGCACGTAGTCAAAGACATCCCCGTCCTCCGCCAGCTCCATCACAAGGTAGATCTTCCCCTCTGCAGACTCCAGCATCTCGTGCACACGGATGATGTTCCTGTGGTCCAAGCGCGTGATGATCTGGAGCTCCCGGGGCAGGAATCTCTGAATAAAGTCTGCCGAGAGAGAGGAGGGGGGTTTGCTCACAGGGACGTCCCTGAGCTGCTGGCTCTGGGCATCCCTCTGGGACTCTGCGGAGGGGATGGGTCAGGGAGGGAAGGTTGTTCCTGGCGTGCCTGGTTCCTTGTGGCTTGGCATCATTCCCCAAGTGATGCTTGGCTCCGCTGGGCACTTGCTGTCCTTACAGTCAGAGGGGTGGTCACCTAAACAGGTCCAAATCCTTGGGCCACGGTCCTCAGGCTGTTTTGCTGGACCCCCCCAGCACCCGTGTTCCCTCTGTCTGCTCTCAGGTGGCAAGTTTGGGAAATTAGTTTTCTGCTGTGAATTAAAAGCCTCCACGGAAGGACAGTGCCTCAGCCTGGAGCTCTTTCAGGATCAACTCTTACCTTCTGGGCCTTCCTTCTTGTCAATTATTTTAATTGCCACTTTCTTCTGGTGCTTTAGGGAAAAAGCCTCCTTCACTTTGGAGTACATCCCCTCCCCGATGGTCCTGCCAAGCTGGTAGCCATTGGCAAGCAAAAACCTCTCCATGGCCTCGCCTGGGCTGAGACCCTTCGCTCCCTCAGTTCATCCCGCAGAGACTCAGCAACAGCATCTCAGCGCCCGCAGTGACCGGGGGGGGGGCACAGAGGGACCTTTTAAAACCCAGGAGTGCCATTGTGATGCAGCTGACGCTGCGTCAGTTGGGTCGTGGACGCGCAGCAAGGTGGGGCACAAGCTGGAAGGTCCTTTTGGTGAGTGGAGGCTCTCCCCCAAGGTGGGCAGTGTGGACATTACCAGTCTGGCTGGGGTCCCCCCACGTTCGCCCTGTGCTTTTGCCATTTTTGGGGGGCCCGTGCTCACCCAGCTCACCCACTTGCTCCTCTCTGACCAGACGCGTCCAGGGTCCGGACATGAGCTCCCAGCGGGCACCACAGGCTCGGAGGTTCCCCATCGAGGCCGGCGACTGTCCCAGCTCAGCTGTGCCTCCCGAAACGCAGGAGCCGGTAGGCGCTGAGCAGTCTGTGGGCAGGTAAGGGGGGCTGGGACACCCTGTGGGGTGTGCGGTCTGGCCCTGGCACAGCCACGCCATGTCACAATCACCCGGTCCCTGCTCCAGCAAACACGGCTTGTTTTGCTCCCAAGAGCATCGTCCGATGGCTTGAACCTCTCCTTGGCCTGGGACAGGGCAGGCTGGCTCCTTGCCTGCCCATCTGCTGCTGCCGGCAGGCTTTGTTGGGGCAGGCGGCGACCTGGGATGTGCCGCGCTG